ACATCCATGTTCATCCGAGAACATTCTGGGTTTTATCTGCCTTATAGTCTCTCTTCCAGTACAGTTTAAGTAGAGATGATGTTTTGTGAATGGATGACTGGGGACTTAGATTAGACATTGGATGAAGAGGATGAACAAGAGATAAAACGTAGACTTTGAGATCTTCTCCCCCAAGTCCTGAGAAGATTGAAAAATGGAGAGGAGCCACCTGACATTCCCAAAGTCCCCAAATGTTGAGCACTGCCCCACAAAACTTGGGCCTGGTACTGGGGCCACCAAGATATGTGCCAAGGGCAGGCAGCCCTGCCTATTGTAGTGACAAGCACTGCCAAAGCTGAGGTGTTAAACTGAAGGTGAAAGTCCACCCAAGGATGAGCCCTCTGCACTTTCGGTATAACTAAAATCAGCTGCTGCAGGACTGAAATCTGGACTGAGGAGGATAGGGACCCACAGAGATCTCTGGGGGCTGTGTTAGCTTGCCATGACTTTGTGCTAGGGACACAGACAGACACCTCCACCGGCACAGAGGACAAGCTCCCGGGCCCCTAACCTGTTACTCATGAAAAGCACGGTTCTTGTTTTCTTTTGATACAGTCAAGGACTTAAAAGCTGTTTTTGGTAAAACAAAATTCTGGTTTCTCACTTGCACCCACAGATACTCAGTAAGTAATTAAAAGTGGGAAAAGGCTTGGCTTTCATTCTGCATCTGTCTCCTCTATTGGCATAAACTTTGGATCGGATCTCTGGTCAGCTTCCTACATAATCATTTCAATTTTTAATTTTTTTTTCACTTTATGTATTTGGTACAGGGTCTTACTATGCGGCTTGGACTCATAGCAGTCCTCCTGTTTTCAGCCTCCCCAGCACTAGGATTGCAGGTGTGAGCCACCACACCCAGGCTCAGGTCACCAGCTCCAGGGGCACCCCAGGGGTGGGGCTTGCACAGCACATGGGACTAGGGATCAAACCCTGGTCTCTGCACTTGCCAAAGCAGGCGCTTAGTCTGCTGAGCTATCTCACTGGCCCCAGCTTTCTATATAATCAGATTCAGCATTTAGTGAATGTCTGGGAGGCAGAAACTCAGGGTGCATTATCTCTAAACTTATGTAACCTACAAAGACTCAGGACACTGAAATAAGTGACTTACTGGGACACTCAACTATCAACAAGCCCACAAATCTCCAGTCATTGCCCAAAACTTCCAGTCATCTTGGATTCAGCAGAGCCTCCACAAAACTGAGACTACCCCAAGCACAAGCAGAGCCCAGAGTGAGCAATAAGAATTTCTCCAGGCTGGGGTGATGGCTCAGTGGAATAAGCGCTTCCCTAGCAAGTGCAAGGGCCTGAGTTCAATCCCTGGTTCCACAAAAAAAAAAAAAAAAAAAAAAAAGTAACCTGGGGCTGGTGAGATGGCTCAGTGGTCTAAAGCACCTACTTAGAACAAGCTTAGCAAAGCACAGGGACCGGGGTTCAATCCACCAGCACCACATGCCAGCCAGCCCTGCCCCCTGGTGGGCTGAGCTGGCCACACACACACACACACACACACACACACACACACAAACACACACACACTAAATAAATAAATGTTTAAAAAAAAAAAAAAGAATTTCTCCAGAGCTATCTTCCAAATCTAGAACTGAAATACTAACCAACCATACCCTATCCCACCCAAATCCTTCTAAGCCGATCCTCCTCTTATTCTATCAGCATTATGCTCTGTCAAGCTGATGGTGCTTCCCTATTTCCTCTTACTTTCTAATGCTGCCTAAGACATCAGCCAGTGCTTCTGACAGATGCATCCTGAAATGCTTTTCTGTGTTCAGAACCTACCCAGGGTGAGTTGAGGTCACCATCTCCTCTTCACAGGAGCTCTTCAGACACTGTCCAGTGATGGAATAAGGTCCATCAACTGAGGAGCTTAAGGAATAGAAGTTCATTGTCTCAAGTTCTGGACTCAGAGATCAAAGGCACTTACACACTTCATGCTTTCTGAGAGCTGAGGTAGACATCTTATTCAATACCTTTCTCCTACTTTCTAGTGATTTCTCTGCCCCTGCTGGTCACCTGGTCTTGTGGAAACATTACCCTGAGTGTTTCCTTCACCTTTATGTGGTGTTCTCCCTCTCTAATGCCTCTGAATCCATGTTTCCCTTTTTTTGTTAATTTTTCAGAAAGGATCTCACTCTGTAGTCCAAGCTGGACTGGAGCTCCCTGTCCATCCCAGGCTGACCTCAAAATCGTGGTCCTTTTGCCTCAGACTCCAGTGTCCTGGAATTGTAGGCATGTACCATCATGTCTGGCTAAATTTCCCTTTTGGGAAAACACACTAGTCTTTCGGGGTTAGAGACCATCCTAGTAACCTCATCCTAACTCAATTATACCTGCAATTGTGCTATTTTCAAGTAAGGCCATGTGACAAGTTACCAGGACTCAAACGCAGTTCACCTACACATGTGGGCCTATCACTTCCAATAAATCCCATTCCTAGGTGTGAGAACGAATCTTCTTGTCCAGATCCTCCCTCTCTAATTCCAGAGGCAGGAAGAACAGCAGAAATAAGGTTTTAATGCAGTCAGGCTCCCAAGGCTGGGTGTCTGATCTGATAGGAACATACAAGTTGAGAAGCTGTGGGCTTTTTTTGCTCCTAACTCACAAGAATCCCTCTCTTCACCCCCGATGGCCTAGGAACTGGGGTTCACAGTCTTTCCTGGCTGATGCTTGTATTTAGCTCAGTACCTTATAGCTAGCCGGTGGGAGCCATTTTCCAGCCTGTGTTTCCACATTCGCTTTTTTTTTTTTTTTTTTTTTTTTTTTTTTTTCAGGCCCTTGCACTTGCCAAGGATCTACATTCGCTTTTAAAATTTTTTCATATTGTGTATTTGTACAGGGTCTCACTGTGCAGCCCAGACTCAGAGTGATCCTTGTTTTCAGCCTCCCCAGTGCTGGGATTACAGGCATGCGCCTCCAAGCTCAGACTTGGTAGTCAGCTCAGCATGCCCCAGGAACGGGGCCATCACAGCATGCAGGACTGGGGATCGAACCCTGGTCCCTATACTTGCCAAAGTGGGTACTTAGTCCGCTAAGCTATCTTGCTGGCCCTCCACATCCACTTTTTTTTTTTTAATATTTATTTATTTTGTGTGCGTGTGGCCAGTTCAGCCCACCAGGGGGCAGGGCTGGCTGGCATGTGGTGCTGGGGATTGAACCACGGTCCCTGTGCTTTTGCTTAGCTTGTTTTAAGTAGGTGTTTTAGACCACTGAGCCATCTCACCAGCCCCACATCCACTTTTTGACCCAGTTAATTCTGTGAATAAGGGCCCATTAGCTTTGTTAATGAAATATGGACAAGTGAAAATATTTCTTTCTCACTCTCTCTCTTTTTGTGTGTGTGTGTGTGTTTTAGGACAGGGTCTACAGGGTCTCACTACATAGATCAGACTCATTGTGATCTTCCTGTTTACAGCCTCCCAAGTGCTGGGGTTACAGGTACAAGTCACCATGCCCAGCTATCGCCATCTCAGCATGCCCCAGGGGCAGGGCCGGCATGGCAGACCCAGGAATTGAACACCAGGCCCCTGCATCTGCCTATGCAGGTGCTTTAATCTGCTGAAATATTTAGCCATCCTGAAAATATTATTTCTTACAAAAGAAAAGCTGCTTGAATAGCTCTTAGGATAGAATGAGTGATGCTGAAATAATGACCAGAGTGAACTCGTAGTATTTTAATGTAACAAGTGTTCATTTCTCACTTGTGCTAGGTCCCCAAAGGGTAGGACTTTCTAGGACAACTGTGACCCAGGCCACAATTCAGCACACAGACTGCTTCCAGACCTACCAAGAGGGCTGAGAAAGCTGGGAGCTGCCCGTGGTCTTTCCTGGTTGTAGCCTAGAAGTAAGCTCTCCCATAGATGCTCCCCTTGGAAGCAGCCCCAGGCCTGCACCCCTGAGAGGGCCCAGAGAGGCTGCAAAGGTTAAACATTCACAAGCACCAAAGCCTCAGTGGCAGGAACCTTTCAGCACTGGTATTGGAGTGTTTCCCACATCCTGTGAAAGCCAAATTCTTACCACAGGTTGGACAGCAAGAAGAAAGGTGTTTACTTTAGGAATTAAAGCTGGGCTCACTGCATCTGTAAAGCATGAAGAATAAAGAAGCAAGTGCTTAGGGGAGCATTACTGGGCCAGCCTCCAACCACAGAAGGGCTGCTGCTAAGGGGCAAACAGCAGCTCCGAGGGAAGGTCAGCCACAGCCCCTGGATTTCCCAGCATTAGAAACTCTCTAGGGATGACAGAGAAAGAGAATGAAGGAGAAGAAAAGGTTGACTCACTGGCTTTGGTTAGGGAAAGAAGATATCTGCCTGCTCAACACTTCCTGCTGGACTGTGGGGACCCTGCGGACAGGAGTAGGGCATAGTCTGGGTCATCCCCAGAGAGGTTCACATGAGAGCTCTGTGGAAGTTTAGTGCTCATTTCCTGTGAATGGAGGCTTGAGGAACGGGATGAATGCGCACCACTCAATGCTCTTCGTGATTCTCAAGTGCCATGTTTAATGGAAGAAAGGTGAAACCCTTGCCCAGTAGCTGTCCCACTCACAGAAGAGCCACAGCCTGTCAGAACACACAGTCCTTGTCCACCAGGGATCTGGCTGCAGGGAAGTGGCTGGCTGGGGGTCACACCCAGAGCTGGTTATGGAAATTTACTCAGTCAGGACCTAGGCCATGAGAAAGGCTTCAAAATGACCTGAAATTTATTTTGGCACAGCTCATTGAGTGAATGATTTTATAATACTCATCTCTGTCCTGCCAGCTAACGAAGGGGAAAAAATGGGATTGCCCAGGGACACGGGTGTGCTAATCTTTGAGTACTTCAAGTGACCACACCCCGGTTGGCTACCCATCAGCCATATACTTCACCAACCCTCCACCCTCCCAGATAGGATAGCTATTTAAAAGCAGCTGGAATTCAGGAAAATAAGACAGTCACTTGGCAGAATCAACCACAGCATCCTCTGAGAGGTAAATACCCAGACACCAATGCACAGTTGAAGGTGTTAGAATTTCGACTGGTTGCTGGCTTTGGGACTTGTCCTGCTATGCATTTCTGTGGATGCATGCATCTGTGGCCTGAATGGGCACTGTGTGATTGCATGATTTGGAATGTACAAGAAAGTGTGAGCACGCAAGTATGCTAGTGGGTCTGTGAGGGCTGTGCCTGTGAGCTGTCTGAATCTAAGGATGTGTGGAGCAGTGGGGAGTTCAAGGGCATGTGCACAGAAGATCCATGTGGGAGGATGGGGTCCATGTGTGTGTGTGTGTGTGTGTGTGTACATTCATGTGTGTGCATGTGTGTGTGCATTCGTGTATATGTGTGTGAGTGCATGTGTGTGCATTCGTGTATGTGTGCATGTGTATACCTGCATATGGCATAGGGTTAGAAAAGCTTGCAAAGAAAGGGTACAGTTTTATTTCAGGAGAAAAATATTAAGGTTAAGACTATTGACCAAATATCCAGGACTTTAATGCAGTGTAGTGACAGGTAAGAAGTGTCTAAAGGGGGAGAGGGAGACATGTTCTCTGATCTCAGCTTTGTGGGATAAACTTACTTCCACCCTCCTAGGAATTCTTGGGCTGGTGGAGCAAGAGAAGCTGTATCACACGGCATCTCCAGGAGTCTGAGGTCTCTATATGTGTGACACAGAACTGGGGAGGGTCAGAAGGTGGCACGCGTGTGTACAGATCGCTTCAGGTCATTCTGTGTGTCTTAATGTGCGGCAGAGGCGCTCTGGCTAGATGTGGACTGCGTGAAAAGCACAGGGGGCTTCTGGGATAGGTGCCAGAGCAGAAGCTGGGAACAGCTGGGAAAGGAGTCCAGGACAATGAGCGTGCACCTGTCCTTCGCAGAGCTGTCAGCATGAAGCCCCTCCTGCTGCTGCTGCTGCTGGTGGTGGTCTTGGCCTCTGGTAAGACTAGACCCTGATCTGTGGGCCCCAGGCGGGGGGAAGCACTTGACCTGTTTTCCTTCCCACTGGAGCAGTCTTCTTTCAATGGGAAGATCAGAGAAGACATTGGTGGAGAGAGAGAGGCAGGGAAGAGGATCCCACCTCTCATCTACAGATTATTTCCTTCCAGCCTTGCTGCAGGTCGAAGGCCATTTGACCCAGTTCGCGGCAATGATCTTTCTCAAGACAGGAAAGAACGCACTCACGAGCTACGGTGCCTATGGCTGCCACTGTGGCGTCGGGGGCAAAGGAGCCCCCAAGGATGCAACAGACCGGTGAGGCCAGCCTTCTTGTCCTCTGCTCATCTCTAGCCTGCGCAGGGTTGGGAGCGGTCAGGACAGAGCTGATGCCCAGGAAGGGCTCAAAAGCCCCAGGAAGGTCCCTGCTGGAAAAACAACCAGTATGTTGAGAACTTCGCTCTAGATGATTCCATGGCATTGGGTCTCTGTTCCCAGTCACAGGAGAGGGGACGGTGGGGCACCAGGATCTTTAAAGCTGTGAGAAGGTGCTCCAACAGGATGTCCTCCTTCTAGGTGCTGTGTCAAACATGACTGTTGCTACAGCCGTCTGATCAAACGTAAATGTGGTACAAAATTTCTGAACTACCGGTTTGCCAAAAAAGGGAGCTCAATCATCTGCAGCGGTAAGCAGGAGCCCTGTGATACCACCCAGTCTCCTGCCTGCGCATGCTGAGTGCCCGCTGCGCCAGGCCCTGTGCTGGGCACCAGAGATAGAGCCCAAAGGAGCACTGTCCCTGACTCAGGAAGCTCATGGTTAAATGGGAGGCACAGAAACCGAGAGCCCTGGGTGGGGAAGGCTGTGGTAGGAAGGAAGCGAGAGACAGAACCTTGACACATCAGAGCGGTGACATCTGTGCAGGGGCCCAGAGGCTGTGCAGAGAGACAGCGAACAGGAGCGTCTGAAGGTTCCCAGAGGAGGACCTGAGGGGATCACAGACCATGCTGTGCTGCTAGGGGAAGTGAAGAGCCATGGTGGGGAAGGGTGGCTGGATAAGCCAGACCTTCCAAGCCCCCGGGCACCTGTAGGTTTTGTCCCAAAGCAGCAGGCAGCTATTTTGCAAAGGAGAGACAGGAGTGGACATGCACTTCTGTCCATCTGCCTCAAGATAGATGGGGTCATGTTGAAAGAGAGATCAGGCAGCAAGCTGTTGCCAACATGCAGACAAAAGAGAGCAACCATGTGGAATAGCACTCTGCTGGGCAGGAGGGAATGGGTGGATGCACTCCAGATGCGCTGGGGCAGAATCCACCAAGCCTGGCGGAGGCCTAGGGAGGGGGCCATGACGAGCTCTTGGGTGGGTATGTGACTGTGCGGGTGGGGAAACTGCGGTAAAGACCACAGCAGAGGTGGGGGTGGGGAAGGAGCAGCTCTGACAGCGGCACAGGAGGTTCAGGGGAGCCCAGATGCCGTGAGAACTGCACAGCAGGCCGCTGGACCTGGGCACTTGCAGTTCTGGGAGGATCTGGCCTGGGCCATGCTCAGAAGTCAACAACAGGGAGTACGAGTAAGGTGCTCGCCCATTTTTGATAAAAGGCCTGGGAGAGAGGCCAGAAAGTTGGACAGAGAACAGGGGAGGGGACTGAGTGAGAGATCAAGGGGCCACTGAGGATTAATAGCAGCCAGTGGGCCAGAGGAGGCCACCACAAGGAAGACACACAGGGCTCCTTTGCTTAAGGGGCAGGAAGGCCCCTGAGGACTTCAGAGGCAGGTGTTCCCACAGTGTGGGGCACAGCCAGACTAGAGCGGGTCAGGCAGTGAGCAGGAAGTAGAGACCATGAGTGTGGACAACTGAATGTCTCTATAGGTGTTAGGCCCCACTAGCCACCTTATGCCCAGCTGTCACTGATTTGGCCAATGAGGATTCATGACCTTCACAGAATGAGAGTTCTAGAAGAGGGCAGCACTGTGCCTGGGCAGCTTCTCCGCCATGTCCCAGCACTATTCCTCAGCTAGGCCCTGGTGGCTGAATCTACCCTCAGTGGTGTCAAGACACTCCTGTAGCTCCCTACATCGTAGCCTCAGCTGTGCAGCAGGCTTTCCCACCAGGCCACTGCCTTTTTGGAGAGAAAAAAATCCATGCTTCTCAGAAGTCCCTACAGACTTTCTCTGTGGCTCATTGGTCAGAAGTAGATCACATGCTCCCCATAGGCCAATCAGTGCCGAGGAGAATGGGAGGCCCATGCATGGTGTTCACCAATCACCGTCCATCCCTGGCTTGGCCAGCTTGACAGGTCCATTAGCAAAGAGAGACAACTGCTGGAAGATCCACAGCAACCCTGGCGCTCGGTGCTGTGTGATCCAGTTGGCCAGGGGGCCAGTCCTGAGAGATAGGCTCCTGCTTCTCATTGGTCAGGACTATTTGGGACTGGCAATTAAGTCAGAGAAAGACTATCCAGGCCCAGGGCTATGGTTTCTACCCCTAATCTGAAACCACAAGAGAATAGGACACCCACCACAGATGAGTATATTGTTCTAATTTCAGCAAAGCAGAGTTCCTGCCAGAAGCAGGTGTGTGAATGTGATAAAGCTGCTGCCTACTGTTTTGCTGCAAACCGGAAAAGCTATAAGTTAAGGTACCAATTTTACAACAATGCACTGTGCCGTGGGAAGACCCCAAGTTGCTGAGAGGACACGAGTGCTGAATCTTCTTCTCCAACTCCTCTTCTTCCTGCAAGCCCATTCCCCCTGCAATAAAGAAAACAATTCTCTCCCATCTGAGGGCTAGGTAGGAGCCCTCTGTTCCTGCTGGGGAAGTGAGACCCATGCCTGGGACAAGTCTGATTTGCTTCTTCCCTGCAGCCTAGGTAGCAGGACATTTCCCCACTCCCATCTGTGGATTCCTTCTAAGCCCAATTCTGGTTTAGCATTAGCAGCTGCACTGGGGGGGAGGGGAGTAGGGGGGGAAGGGGTCTTTTCTGAATAAAGCAGTTTACTCATAAAAATCACACATGTGTCTATTTGTGTGTGCAAGCTTACAGGCTCTCAGACACAACCACTCTTTATGTACACAATGAACGAGTTCGAAATCCAGGCTCTGATCGCAGGCTGGCTGGATCTAGTTCCCAGCCCTGGCCCACAACCCTAAGCCTTGGTCTTCTCACCTGGATAGAAATAACACTCATGCCTCCTTTTTAAAAGTTAAAAGGAATGCAAATATAAGCACTGGGTCTGACCCATCTTCAGCTGCCTTTCCCATTAGGAGTGAGACTCAGGCATCCCTCTCCCCTTCCCAGGCCACAGCAGCACCTCTTGGCCTACTGGGGGACAGAAGAGTTGTCCAAATCAAAACAGAATCGGGTTTGCCAGATGAACTAAAGGAAGCAAAGAGGTGTGAACAAGGAGCTCTGGTGATTGTGTGCCTGATCCAACGAGCGCTCACAGCGGACATCACTCGCTGTGCCAAGACCCTTAAAATTATGATTTTCTTCTGTCCTTGTGAGATTGACAACAAACAAAAGGGGACCCCAAAATGGCAAAGCACACAATGAAAGCTCTGTTCCAAGGACTAGAAGGGGTGACGCTGTGGTCCATTTTCGTGCATTTTATTTCTTCTATTTTTTAACCAGCAAGAAAGAAATATTCTTAAACTGCAGCTATGAGATTAACATGTAAAGTTTTTTTTTTTTTAAGCTCTCTGTGTAATGTTTCTTTCTGCTTATTTTGAATCTGCGAATATTTTCACTTATAGGTCGATAAAGACAAATTGAAAGTGGAAGTTCACCTAAAAGTTTCTGTTATGGTATTTCAGACTCTAGAAGAAAAGATAAATATTTTCCAAATAGTGGTTTTGCAACCGACAGTTCCATGGCAACCTGACTCCGAACAGTTACCCTTCCTGGAGATGAAATTTTGGTGCAAGTGGCTTTAATTGCTTAAAGTGCTGGGGCTTTCCTGCCTTCTTAAAACCACATTTATGTTTCGGTCAAAACCTTGAGCAATGAAAAGACATTTTTCCTGGCATAAATATCATTTCATTTGCTACATGGGCCAGGAAAAAACAAGAAAAACTATAAACAACCTTTTAAATATGATTCCTGGAAGGTTGTCCAGGCTGAGGGTATAGCTCAGTGGCACAGTGCCTGCCTGCCAAGCACAATGTCCATCCTGAGTTCGATTCCCAGTATTAAAAAAACAAACAAACAAAAAACTAGTTCATAAAAATGTGTCCAGACCAAGTTAATTAGGCAACTAACTAACGAGGCCAACAAAGCAAAGATAACTTCATTATTACATTCAAGCTTGTTTGGAGATTTTTAAAAATTCTAGCCAGTCCTACCTAAAATGTAAATATCCAAGAGTTAACTGCTATATTCCTTCAAGACTCAGGAAAAGGAAGAACGAACAAGGGAAATGTCTCTAATGCACTGTTTTGTTCAGATAAAATGGTTGTCCCTTTTTATTATATGTACTTTAGCTTTAACCTAATCACAAGATATATGGGGCCGGCAAGATAGCTCAGAAGTCTAAAGTGCCTGCTTAGGTAAGCTTAGGCAAGTTCAGGGGACTGCAGTCCCATCTCCGGCACCACATGCTGTGCCAGTCCTGCCTTCAGGGTGGACTGAGCTGACAAAAGAAAAAAAATCCCAAGATATCATATGATACAATTACTCTAGATTACTGCCGCTACATGAAAATGTCGCTAATCATAGGGCTCTGCCCAGATAAATCCCAATTCTGACATCAGACATATCAGCCTAACTAAAAATAAGGGATTCTACACAGAATAATATTGTATGTGTGTTTGGAGGGAGGAGACAGCTGAACTTTGCAACATCTGATTACTTTTTAGGTTGACAAGGGACATGGAAATGTTAGTCCTGAAGATTAGGGGAGTTACAATTGCCATTGTGCAGGATGTGTTTCCCGTGTGGTGGAGGGGAAAGGCAGGGCACTGTAATGTGCGCAGGTGAGTGGTTCAACTTTATCTGCTGAGCTGGCCACTTCCCAGGGATGGGATGCTTGTGGCTCTGCAGACCCCTGTGGTACCAGGTCTGCGCTCTGCTGCAGCCACTGAAATTCTCATCAGTCCTTAGACAACGGGTCTGTGGCATTCATTTTGGTATTTTTTTTGGGGGGGGGGTACTACCTAAGTGACACAGCCGCAGTTAGGCTGGGCCCAAATACCACTCTGTGAAGATTCTTAACGTTAGAGAGTGGCACTGAAAAGCCCTTCCTCTATCAGCGGGAAAAGGCAGCGCGTAACTTATTTTCCTCAGCCCCATCTCTCTCCAGTAAAGACTTTGTACCTTTGAACTAAAGTTCTTCCAAGAACATTTTCAACCTAATCCTACGTATGCTAAATTCCTGAGAAGCAACCCACTTCCAACTTCACACTGAATGACAGTTTGGAAGGCTGGGACATTCCAGTCGGTTTCCTTGTGTTCTGAGCATCATCTGTCGGTTTCTCCTTACATCCACTTTTGCTAACAAGAGGTCTGCCGCTCATGAGACACTTAGCGTTGAATAACCGCCAGCTTTGTCTCTGTCTTCATTTTCATCTAGAAACACAGCATGGCCCCCGTTGTTGGAGAACACATTTTCTACTTTCACTACAGTTTGCCTAATTGGACATTTAAAAAAAAAAAAAAATCAGTCTTGTTTGTACTTTGAGGTGCTTTCAATTTTGTTTAATTACAGGAACTTTTAAGTTGTATTTCTTTTCATACTTTGTCACTTTAATTTTTGCTCTCTTGGGTCAGGGAGATAGCTCAGTGGACTAAGTGCCTGCTTTGGCAAGTGCAGGGACCAGGGTTGGATCCCCGTCCTGCACGCCATGCCAACCCCGCCCCCGGGGCATGCTGAGCCAACTACTGAGTCCGAGTCCTGGCGTGGTGCCGCAGGCCTGTAATCCCAGCGCTGGGGAGGCTGAAAACAGGAGGATCACCATGAGTCCAAGCTGCGTAGTGAGACCCTGAACCAAATCCATAAATGAAAACAATAAATTTCCAACTCATTTTCACTCTCCTTCTTAAGAGTTCTTTATGTGGATGTTGGAGTATCTATTTCCATATTTCTGGAAATTTCTTTTTTCTCTATTTTCTGTTTTCTCTTTCACCTGGATGATGTCATAAAATAAGCTTCTAACTCTCAGCATCATTTTTCCACTAGCTGCCCCTTTCCGTGGTTGCATCCCTCACCATGAACAGCTCCCCTTGGGCTTTTTTTTTTTTTTTTTTTTAAGAATTACTGCTTGTTCTTACCTGGTATTTGTAACCTCTCCTATATGGCAGTTCTGTGTCGGATGTTCCGTGTTGTCAAGTGGATTTCCTGTATCCTAGTGGGTGCAGCCTGCATGCCTCAGGGTGAATTTAGGGTGTAGAGAGATGATGCCCCCTAAGGATGAGCCGCGGGAGCTCTGAGCAGGGTGTCCTAATTAAACCCGCGGAGGGAGCGGGGCTGGCCTAAGGAGGTAACCAGCCACCCCTGGGACGCAGGGAAGAGGCAGCTAAGGATGAATGGGGAACAAAAGCCTGGGGGTAGCCGAGTAACTTGCATCCCTTTTCAACAGTTGCTCCTTTAAGGAGTGCTCTGGGGCAACCCTCCTGGAGTTTCTAGAACTCGAACAATTGAGCTGGTGTTTCTGGGATGAAGAGGCAAGATGGCAGGAAGAATTCTACTTAAAAGAGTATTTTAGGGCCAGCCTGATAGCTCAGCCGACTACAGCGCCTCCTTAGGCAGAGCACAGCGGCTGGGTTCGATTCCGGGTTTGCGGTGCCGGTTCCGCCCCCCGGGGTGTGCTGAGACAGCGATTGAGACTGGACGTGGTGGCACGCACCTGTAATCCCAGCGCTGGGGAGGCTGAAAGCAGATAGATCACTATAAGTCGGATCTACATAGTGAGAACCTGTAGGCCCTGTCCTAAATACATTTAAAAAAAAAAAAAGATTGTGCAAAAAGACTAGCTTGCTCCGTAAAATAAGCCAGATGGGGAAAGTTAAAATACTGCTTGCGGCTGGAGAGATAGCTCAGCGGTCTAAGCGCCTACCTGGCAAGCCCAAATTCCCAAGCTTGATCCCCGGTGCTGGCCCTGGAACCCTGGGTACACCGTGCTGGCCACCAAAACCAGGTGTGGTGACACACACCTGTAATCCCAGAGCTGGGGAGGCTGAGATAGGAGGATCACTATGAGTCCAAACTGTGTAGAGGGACCCTGTACAAAATAAATAAATAAAAATTGCTTGATTTCTCTTATATGAGAAATTTTAAAAAAATAAGGGAAGATGATAGAAAAGTAAAAAGAGTAAATGTGAAAGTGGATTGGTAAGGAAGTAACTGAGTTGGGAGGACAGGACCAATTTGGATAATAATCATCAAAATACATTACACGCATGCACCAATACACCAAAGTGCATATCATTATTCTGTATTACTGAAGTCTGCTAACAATATAAAAATAAGAAAGCTTTTTCCTCACCTTTGCAAAGCTTGTCTAAACAGCCTGTCCTGCGCTCAGGGGCAGAGGCCCCTCTGCTCTCCCACAAATGTCACCTGCAGCCAACTTCGCCTCCCACTTCCTGCAAGGTGCTGTGGAAGTTCCTTTGTTATTCCCTCCGATCTGAGCCCGTCTCTCAGCTCTGTCATTTTGTCAGATTGGTTTTGGCAAAGGAAGCCAACAAGCCATTTGCGATCTTGGCAGACACACGGTGGAATGTACAGGGCACTATCTTGGGTATAACTTGAAAGTACACAGGGTTCTGAAAACAGTGTTTTTCACAGGACTATAACTCTAAATAAACATGTCAAAGATAAATTGATAACGGAGATGAAGAATAAAGGGGAGAATGAATAAATAAAATAAAATCTTTGTCTTCCGCAACCCAGCGAAAATGTGCTATGAAGAGAAATTATGACCCACAAGGATTAAGAATTGGAGCCGGGGAGATAGCTCAGTGGAATAAGTGGTTGCCTGGCAAGTGCAAGGTCCTGAGTTCAATCCCTGGTACCACCAAAAAACAAACAAACAAACAAACAAACAAAAAAACAGTAAAATCAACATATGGCTATTTTTAAATAAAATAAAAAATAATTAAAAAAAAAAGAATTGGTCAATCTTACGTGCATTTGTCATTTGACTCAGTAATGCCACCAGTAGAAAATTACCCTATAAGCACACACACACACACACACACACACACACAATTGTGCATGAGCAGTGTGTCAAGGAGACAGTGAGAATTCACACTCAGTGCAGTGGTAGATCTAAAACCAGGTCTTCATTCTGTTAGTGTTGAGGGAGGTGGTTTTGGCGGACAGTGCCTAGTGGGGGTGGGTTTTGGAGGAGAGTGTCTAGTCAAGCCCCAAGATTGCCAGGCCCTTGTTAATGAGAGAGAAGGAGGACTGTCCCTTAGCATTCATAGAGAAAACACAGGTAGGCACTGCTATCCAGTGATCATGGACTTTACAACGCAACCCTACTTCAAGATAGCAACAATTTCCTCCTGCAAGCTTCATAAAAGCCCCTTAGCTGATAAGAGGAGCGCCACAGCTCTCTGATCCTCATACCAGCGGTCCCTCTCAGGTTTTATTCCGATAAAGCCTGTCCTCTTCTGTGGAGCTCAGTTGCCTTTTCTTTTCTCCTCACAAGTATCCTAATGCACCAGCCAGCTGGGCCTCAGAATCCTAGTTTATTCTATTTAGCCGGAGAGAAATATTCAGGTCTCGATTATTGCTATCTCTGAGCTACATTCACAGAGCTCATAGATAATCAAAGAATCATTTTAGTTCTGTCCTATCTGTGTTGTAGGGTGGAGATTCCTGGCAAATCCTGCCAGGAGAATTGAGGAGAATTGAGTCAGGTTCCTTCCAGGTGACAGAAGGTTGACTCTCCAAGACACTGGCTCATCTATAGGTGCTGAGTGTCAAGGAGACAGATGAGGCTGAAAGATTGAGAGGCACAATAACTATGCCCATCACGGTGTCCCTGGGAGCCACTCAGATCCATGCCTGCCTTCTACCCCACCTGCCTCTAGACTACACGGATGGGTATCAGAGTGCTCTCACTTCACACAGACAGGGAGGGCAAGGCCAGTGGGTCCGAGTTCCCTGAAAGATCCAGGTCAGATGTTCTAAAAATGTGTTAAAATATCAACTTGGGTACATTAAAATTTAGCAAATGTATTTGCTGAAACACTGATGCATGAATCAGGCAGCTGTGGATGACAAGAGGGTTAGGACACTAGTGTCAGGGGAAGTGACAAGAGGGAAGTTTTTATAAGCTATTTGACAAAATAAGACCAAATATATCCATTAAATTAGAAATAGCCTTTTGTGGGTAAACTTAAGTTTCACTTTTCTGTTTATTTTGATTTTCTGTTTGTTTATGTAAGAACACAAGGTGCTAGGGCCATCTTAGCTTCATGACTTCCAAATTAAAATTAAACAAAACAAAAACCACAATTCTTGCCAGGTGGTGGGACAGGCCTGTACTCACTGTATTCTGGGAAAATGAGGCAGGAGGATCACAAGTTTTAGACCAGTCTGGGCAACTTAATTTAGTAAGACCCTGTTTCAAAAATTTAATAAAACAAGAGCTGAGGTTATAGCTCAGTGGTAGAGCCCCTGGGTTCTAGCTGCTATACCGTTAAAAAATAAATATTGTTTTGCATTGGCCTGGATCCTACACAAGGCCTCATGCCAGTGTTCTATCAGCTACATTTCCAGTTTCAATTAAAAAATTTGAGTCAATCTAAACCCAGAAAGTTAGTAAATGTAGTAAATGATTTTGAAATGATAGCAGTATGACATGATTATATAGATAAGAAAGGAAACAAAAAAGTCCTATAGTTTCAAATAAAATTGGTTATTTTCTTTTCTGTTTCTTTTTTTTTTTAAAGACACATTTATTCAGCATCATGATCAGACTGTTACATTTAGCAATCAACAGCATGGGTGCAAAAAAAGGTCTATGTTAAAAGCCTTTGTTGGAATGCTTTACTCTTTCCACAGAACAGAAACTAAAATGTTTCTTATCTTTACCATCATTTTATTGCCATCATTTTCCAAATAGCTTGTTACAGGAAAAGGGTACTTTTGTGAGCTTTATGACAATGAAAAAGCAAAAATCTGTAAGAGAGAAAAACAAAACGAGCAAGTAATTACAATACACTAGTAGAGTAAATCACTTAACTACATGAGAGAGAGAGACAGAGACAGAGACAGAGACAGAGACAGAGAGATACTAGAAAGCAAGTTACAAAATGGCTATAGAAGGCCCTTACCTGCTAATGATGACCTTAAATGTTAATGGCTTAAACTTTCCATTTAAAAAGCAGAGGTAGGGAAAAGGGATGGGGAGAAGTCTGGAAGTCAGTCAATGGGAATTTACTTAAGACTTAGATAGAACTAAGAGTTTTGTTACCCTATCATATACTGGACAAGTACGGCTATTGATAATGTACTGTATCTTTCAAAACTCTAGTGTTTTGGGCCGGCCAGATAGCTCATCAGATTAGAGCACCTGCTTAGGCAGATGCAGGAACCAGGGCTTCATTCCCCTGGCTTGCCGTGCCAGCCCTGCTCGTGGGGAGCACTAAGACAGCTATTGAGACTGGGCATGGTGGCGCACGCCTGTGATCCCTGCACTTGGGAGGCTGGAAACAGGAGGATCACTCCAAGTCTGATCTCTGTAGCGAGACCTTGTAGACCCTGTACTAAATGCATAAAAAAATAAAAAATAAAAAGAAAGAGAAAAAAAAATTTAGTGTTTTGAATTTTTTCATTGTAAAAAATAGTATTTCAGGAGATAGGTATTTTGAACCTGATTTAACCATTATATAATACATCAAAATATCATATGATACCCCATAAATATCCATAATTTTTATGCTTATATGCATTAATTAAAAACTTTAAAATAAAATTTAAAAGAAAGAAAAGTTAGTGAAATAGCTGCAGCTCCTGCCCCTACAATCGGTGCTATGGTGAAAATCAAAGTTGGAGACCTGTTATCTCTTACTATATTCTCAATTCATTCGCTCTAGACAACAGATGGGTTCATGTACTGTACTATACCATACTGTCAGCAGATTCAGCTACTGATGAGTTCAAAGCTGAATGTGTTCTTTTTTTTTTTTTTTTTTTTTGGCAGAACCGGGGATTGAACTCAGGCCCTTGCGCTTGCCAGGGAAGCACTTATTCCACTGAGCCATCTCCCCAGGTCCCTGAATGTGTTCTTAAAAGCTGAGGCCTGGGTGGAAGAGATGAGCCTTGAAGTCTGTCTCTTGCTCTGGCTCTTCACAGAACTCATTCCTTCCGGCTGCCATGAGGTAAGCAGTTTTCCCGCCAGACCCTTCCATAATTCCTCACCCAGGGCACAGACCCTTGTTAACCAGATGCTACAATTCAGATTATGAATGTCCCACCAAAGCACCTTTAGTGCAGGGCTAGGCCCCAGCCTGTGGCGCTATTTGAAGGTGGCTGATCCTTCAGGAGGTGAGTCTTAGTGAAAAGCTCCTAGTTCACTGGGGCATGCTGTTGTAGGATCCCAGGCCTCTCCTTTTCCTTTTTCTCTTTCTCTCTTCAGTCATGATGAGAGTGGTTTTGCTCTGCCACATGCTGCCACCATGATACACTGCCTCATCACAGAACAAATTTAGGAGCAAAGTGATCATGAACTAAAATCTCCAAAACGGAGTCAAAATAAACCTTTTCTCTTTATAAATTGGTTATCCTAAGTATTTCATTAAGTTACAGGACATTAACAGACTAATTCCAAGAATATTATTGTTGCCTCCCTTGGCTTAAAAAATACTCTGGGAACGCACTTTCAGAGAAAATCATATTTCTAAATATAAAATGTTAACAAATTGAGTTTATTCACTGAATTGCTTTCATACAAATTCAGGATTCTGGCAGCATCACGTCTCTGAAGTAGAAAGGTATTCTGATGAGATCAGCAGAGAGGGTAGGCTTTGTAGGCAGAAAATAAAAACTGCGTAAAGGATTCTATCACCTACCAATCAAGACAGTTTGAATTCTTCCTTTCCCATTTATATTCCCTTTATTTCCTTCTCTTGCCTCATTGCTCTGGGCAAAAGTTTGAGCGCTATGTTGAAGAGGAATGGTAGCATACATCTTTTTTCCACCACTGATTTTAGAGAAAATACTTTCAGTTTTTCCCTTTTTAGTCTGATATTGACTGAGGGTTTCTCAAATATGGCTTTTACCAGTTTGAGGTTAAATCCTTCTACGTTTATTTTTATCAGGGTTTTGTCATGAAATGATGCTGGATTTTGTCAAATGCTTTTTCTGCCATCTATTGTGATAATCATGTGATTTTTCAGTCTTTGATCATATTCATGTCGTATATAACTTTTATTGATTTATTGGTGTTGTATCAGCCTTGCCTTCCTGAAGTTGACTTGATCATACTATGGTCTTTCAATTCTGTTGGGAAGTGTTGATTACTCTTCTCTCATTGCTGGGACAGATACCCGACACTCAAAATGAAGGAAGGAAAGGTTTATTTAGCTCACAGTTAGTGGAGGTTTCATTTCATCCTCAGCTGGCTCCAAGGCAGAGCGGCACATGGAAGAGA